AGATAACCTCATTTTTTTTTTTTTGGCAAGATGTATTACAGTTTTTATTGTTAATGGTCAAGGATTACATGTCACATATAAAACATGAAATGAAGGGCTATCTATCCTAGTATTGATAAAAGTATTGATACTATGTGTAAGGGAAATTCTTGGTCCTTCTTTTCTCTGAAGCTTCAAAAGTCAGCACAGGAGTCAGCAGTGTATTTTTTTGAGGCCAGAAAGAATCTTTGCAGGAAGAGAGCCTCTACCTTCACCGAAAGCAAGCCAGATTGCTGGCAGTGAAAATTAACAGGGTTCTGCGGGATTATTTAAAGTAACAGATGTGGAGTTAAACCTGCAGGTGTTACAGTGTATCTGTAACAAGAGATTCAATACTTTCAGATTTCAGAAGCAAACATAGTTTTATGCACTGTTATTACAGAATTATATAGTGCATTGCTTATTACTGACCAGGGAGAAAGCAAGAGGGCAGAGAGAGGCAATAAAACAGGAGGGCACGACTGTCTCTAATAAAAGTAACAACTATAAACATGCCAAGAGGAAAAGCTTCAAAGGAAACTAGAATCAGGAGGCAATTTATTCATGACTGACGTGGCTACACTATGCCAAGATAACTCCCAACTGTATTGGAGTAGCCATGACAGGTTCCTTCAAAATAGATGGGAGAGACTAGCAATTGCTAGAGGTAAGGTCTGAAAAAGAAATTCCATAAACTCAATATTTTTAATTCAACAGAACTGTGAAGAAAATAAGTTGCTATATTCATGAGTATAAACCCAGTAACAATAAAATACAACTTTCATATTGCTAAGATAGCTCGACAGCAGCACAGTAGCTACCTGCAGAATCTTTTGGGAGTTATCTAAAATATTTCTTACAACAAATGTTTCAAAACCATTCAAAACAATTTTGACCTCTCTTGTCCTGAGTAACACATAGAGGTACAAAGGTGACTGAGTCATTCATTAAGTGACTATAATATAATCAAGTCTAAAATCATTCCCAAGGGCATCTCATACCAAGTGGGGACCTGAAAGCTCATCTACTACTGCAAGCTGAGTTAGTGACAGTGAATTACAATTTGTGCATGTCTCATATCTTCAAATAAGGGTGCCTAAATAATTCCAAAAAGCAGCGGTGCTGTTTGCTATTCATCAAATTTCCAGATATGCCTAATAGATAATAGAGCAAAGAGCTGAATAAATAATATTGATAGCATCATTACATCATTTTCATAACTAATAAAAAAGCACAAGATGTTACCTTATGAGCTCAATTTTTTTTTTTTTTCCTCTGGAAACAGCCTCTTGAAAAATCTGATGAGAATTTGCATACTAAAAATATGTAAACATGGAAATAACAAAAAGTAAAAGATCGTATTTTTGAGAAGAGGAAGAAGCATTTAAAATTAAATACTATGAAAATCTTGATCATTTTGTAAATAAAAATATATTTATTGGGCATCTATTAATATATAAAGGAAAATTCAGTACATGTCACTAAATACAAAATGTAAGCTTTAAAATACAAATTCAGAGACTTCCCTGGTGGTCCAGTAGTTAAAAATCTGCCTTCCAGGGCAGCGGACAAGGGTTCAATCCCTAGTCCAGGAACTAAGATCCCACATGCCACGGGGTAACTAAGTCCTTGCACTACAACTAGAGAGCCTATACTCCACAACAAAGACCCAGTGCAACCAAATATATATCATTTCAAAAATAAATCTATAATGATCAAAATATATCTATAATGAGAAGAGGTACAAGCAGTCAAGGATAAAAATATTCCTTCCTCTACAGTGCTTTTCACTCCTGTTGAGAACTTTAGCTCAGACCCCCACTAGACTCACCCCAGGACTATTAAAATGAGCCTCCCGAGTAGTTTGCCTTGCTTCAGCCACCTTAATGCTTCATTTCCAGTTCAAAACCTTTACTGGTTTTCCACACAACAAAATCCAAATGCCTTGGCCTCACAGATATTCGGCACCAATCAATGAACGTTTCCAAACATATAACCCCTTGTCCTTAACCACAGGGACCCACTCTCCCCCACTTCACCCCCAGCCACACTCAGGGTGTTCCTGCATCTCTTCAGAATCTTGGTCTTTCTGGAGTGTCCTCTCCTTTCCCTTATGTGCATATACCTGAATTCTACCCCCAGAGCTAGGTCAACAACCCTCCCCAGGCATATGGACTGACATCTCTCTTAAAGCCTTTTGTATACATCATCCTCTATATGCGCCTCATTCTAGTTCATAACTTATCATTCCAACTGCACTGGAACACATAAGGACATTTCTTACACCACTTTTTGATAGTCTGGCACCTTCTACTCAACCGCTATCCCCATTCATCACAATGGCCAGCATAGCATCTCTCTAATGCGGGCACTCAGCTAGCACTGACTGAACCAACACATAATAGCAATAATGCAAGAAAGTTGAAAACTAAGTATTCTTCAATCATACAAGAGCGATTTGGACCAAATAAGACTTTTGAGAAGCTCAATTATTTTCTTTTCTTTAAAATTTCTGAGGATGTAGAATTCCAGATGGTGGTGCTGAGCTGTTTCCTTTCAGCAGAAACGGATGCGTTTGCCCTGGACGTCATGCTTGTCTGCTGTGTCCCCCCAGAGGACCTGCTGTTTACCTTGTCCTAGGACAGTTCACAGCAAAGGCTGTTCCCTTTTCTGCCTGCACACACGGCTCCTTGAAAGCAGAGATTGTGGTCCATTTCTGACCTCTACATATCAGTAGTCCATGTACTAGGAACTCAGTCAGTGATTGACCTAGCACCATCATTATCTAAAGCAAACGCAATTAAAGAATAACCTTTACTAGGCGCATAAATGTTAAGTAAACTTAATTCATGACTGAGATTTCAAATGAGACACAGGGCCAAAATTCTAAGGACTGCATTTATCTAAGAATTAACACAAGAATGAACATTTTAAAAAGTCAAGAGAAACTCTATGTGAACATAGGTGTGTGCACGTGAATGATTTTTATGCATCATAGTACATTTCTAGAAGAAAACACCATTTTGGAGAGGGAAAAGGAGGAAATAGTGGGTGATTTTCTACTTTCCACTCTTCTGTATTCCTTTTTAAAAAAAACAACGATGAAACATGTACAGTTTCAAATTAACTCCCCCTCACATGAGCCCAGGGAGCAGTCTAATAGCAGTTAAAACATTTTTTTTAATGTGTAGACAGTCTAACGTTGGGTGCTAAGTCGCTTCAGTCACGTCTGACTCTGCCACCCTGTGGACTGTAGCCCGCCAGGCTTCTCTGTCCATGGGATTCTCCAGGCAAGAATACTGGAGTGGGTTGCCATGCCCTCCTCCAGGGGACTTTTCGGACCCAGGGATCAAACCTGTATCTCTTAAGTCTCTTGTATTGGCAGGAGGCTTCCCTTGCCACCTGGGAAGCCCTAGTCCAACATTAGTTTAAAGTAAAGAAATTTTAGACTTAAAAGCTGAGGTGAAAGAAAATGTAGATGGTGAGGTTTGGGAAGCTCACTGGGGATATTTGGGTTTTGTAGCTTTATTTCTGTGTAACAATGGACAAATTCCTTCTTAACTTAGTATTTCCTAATTTAAATTTTTCTTTCATCTATGTGTCCAGCACTCCTATCCATATAAGGATAAAATTACCCAAAGGAGTAATTCATTCTTCCAAGTAATAAAAAGAGACAGTAAAACTCTTTTCCCAAGGTATGAGGTAGTAGTAAATAAAGCTTCTCAGATACTCAATAAAAAGAAGCAACTCCTCCTTCACAGTAACTTGAACTAAAATGCACTTTATACATAAAGTGCTCAGTCTTCATAACAGAATGTTTACATTGAACAACGTCCAGGCATCACACATCTACTCCTCTTTACTCTTTGTCAGGGTAGAGAAATCTGGTCTTGGTGGGAGATTTGAAACCACGTGACCGCATTCCCTTGGGACACAGATCTTCTCACCTTCGCATACCAAGCTAAAATAATCCAGCAAATAGTAGCTTCTTAGTGGCCATGAGCTCAACGAATGACACTTCCTCAAACAGTACATACTTGTCAATGTTAACAGAATTAAATATTCTCTGATAAGTAAGGAAATAATAGTTTCTGGACTCACTAGATTGCCAATTTTACTTTAAAAAATTAAAAACACAAATGATAAAGACCACCTTGATGAAATATCTCCGAATCCCAGTTGGTTTTCTACCAGCCCAGGAATCATCTCCTGAATTACCCTAATGAACTGCAGGAATTGGGACATGGTACCCTTAAAGAAAAGGATGGTTACAGGGTACCAGGAGTGAAAAATCCTCAGTTCTGTCCTGCTTCCTTCAGGCCAGGAGAGAGTTGTGCCTACATCTGACATAGACAAGTTTCTATATCACAGAGGCTGATAGGGAAAAACATTCTTTTCTTCCTTCCGAGCATCAGGACTTGTCTTAGTACCTTGCAGTGTTTCTGGAATACCTCCTCTGGGTCTCATCAGCTCACCACCTTGCAAAGATGAGAAGAGGGCTGCTTTTTCTACCATTCCTGCCATCTGGAAGACCCTCTTTGTTTCATTCCTCCCCATAAACAGTCCATCTGTGCTCAAATCTCATGGTGAAATATACCCTTGATCTTTTGCCTCCACCTCTTAATTTATCCTTCGACTTCAGCTCCTGTCCTAAGATTCCACTTTTCTACATCAAGCTCTTGTTTTCCATATTTTTCTATGCTTGCCCCATCTTTCTGGTTAATCGTTGTTGAGGAAAAAAACTCAGGGCCATTCTCCCTGAAAATACAGTTATGGTTTTGACTGCAATGAAGCCTCTCACAACCTTCATATAAAAGCAATAAACCACAAGATCACTTCGAATTTTTACTAGCACAGTTATTTTAAAGGAAGAAGATATTTTTAGAAAGCTTTCCAGACTTATAGGAGTTTTAAATGTATTAAAGCCAGACAATTAATTCCAAACAGCTTCAAAACTTCCTCCTCTGCGAGACCAAACCAAGTCACAGAAAAAGAAAAGTGCCAAGTGGCAGAGTACCTACCTGAGGGTAGGGGGAAGTCCTGGATTTGGACTTGGAGCTGCAGAGCCTGGACTTGGCCCCCTTCCTGCTGTCAGCCAGGGCAGGAGTGGAGCTGCCTGCATAGGAGAAGGCTGGTTTGGAGGCTGCGATCTGATCCAGGGAGAGCTGCAGCCCTTTGTATTCCGTGTCCCTGCAGGGTGGGAAGACACAGCCCTTAATCGCCACCCCAGGAGAGGAATACACACATTCTCTTACTGGAAATGACAGTCATTCCTATTTGAAGAGGAATCAAGTGAAAGTGAGCCATATAACTGGTCTCCACAAAACACCTTGATTATTTTGCAAGTACTTAACATTTAACAAATGTCTGTGAATGGAGCTGCCAAATTATATGAAGTGCTCATGAAGATGCCTTGATTAAAATATACATTGTTCATTATTTTTATATAGTAGAAAATAAATCTAGAATTCCAGTTCTCTGAGCTTTTGTGTCCCTGCTGGTGAGTTATGGATTATAAATTCTAAATATTTTCTATTTGTGGGATGAGCTCAGAAGAAAACTGACCAACTGATACTGTCTGATCATTGACAAAAAGAATGTCTTTTATCAGCTGTTCCTTGATCAGCCATCCTGGGTAAACATTCCAAATACTCGTATGGCTAGCAAACTAGGGTATCCAGGCTAACTAGTTAAAAATCCTTTTTCAACAGGCTAACTAATTTAGTTACCTGAGGGTATACTTTCCCACCAGTTCTTTCTATTCCTTTACTCAGTAAGTATTTATTAAGTTCCTAAAATAAACCAGACTTTGTGCTATATGGAGATGAAAGGACAAATAAGGCATGTAGGGCCTCCTACCCTTGTGCAGATTACAATGTCTTAAGGAGAAAAAACAATAAAGAAATAAACATAACGACTGCAGGCTGTGAGGTGACAGGGGGAAAAGTGTATCTCAAGAGAGTTCGCTGAGAAGGTACTGCTGAGGTGTTCGGGGACTAAAGATGACAGCTTGGCCTTGCCCACAGCTACCAACCACCTCAGCCTGCTCCCAAGCAGCAGGAAGTCTCAGCTGACTCCTCAGGTTTCATAAGAGGATATCAATCCTTCCCACTGGCAGCCAAAATAAAATGTTTCAGAGTCCTCCTTATGAGGACTCGTGGGAGAATTTTCTCTCAGGTTCCAGATCTAGCCCGGCTGCTTCTGAGTAATTGATTTCTTTTTATCTCACAAGCACTGTGAATCATATCACGCGTCATGTTTCCTTCTTTGCAATGAAGTCAAAAAGCCTGAGCCCAAATTCGATGTGTCACCACCTCTAGCAAGTATACAAATCCTCATGGCACAAATTCTGTGCAACAAACTCCACCGTCTCTTTATTTTTTTTTCTTATATTATTTTCCCTTTCTCTAATGGGTTTACCTTTTTAAACATTCTGCATGCATTTTCCACGCTCTTCAGATTAAGATACCTATGTTAAGTGTAGTAAATTGATAAAATTATACACGTAAAAGTGGTTGGCAGATCTCCACCGTTCAGTGACTATTCATTTACCTTCTTCTCCTTCTCCCTATCTGTCCTGCTACAGAGAGATCAGGCAAAAGCAAAAGTATAATTCAGGCAAGGAGTTCCTCCTCAAGTGCCCAGAAATAGAAACTGGCTAAAATAGGGCCAATAATATTACTACTACTAACTGGAGTGTAGTAATAGATGTCATCAAATTACAATGGCTTCATATCAAATAGCTCATCTACTCAGACACCAACACAATTCTGTAAAGCAATTACCCTTCAATAAAAAAATAAAGTTTTAAAAAAAGACCAAAAAAATTCTCCTTATGCGAGTAAGAGAAATTTAGAAGGTAGGCATGCAGTTTGTCTTTTGGGTTTGGCAGGTCTGATATCCCCACTGGTCTGTTATATGCTCTACTCAACTCCAGGAACCACACACGGCACAGACTCTGAGCACTCTCTGGTCAGAAACTCACTGCCCGCCAAAATGTGGCACCCATCTATTTCACTGACAATATCTCAGGATTTTCCTTCATTAGCCCCTGGCTTCATCCAGAATAGCTCTCCTCAGATTGATCTTATACTTTCCAGACTTTCTCTTTCTTAAAATCCCTCTTATAAAGAACTACCTTAAGTCATACACACCTCTAGAAAGCCCTTCCTGGGTGCTAAACCCATCCATTCCTTCAGTATGTGTTTACTGAGCATCTCTGTAGTGGCCGTGGGGGGACAGCAATGAATAGAAAGACTAAGTTACTACCTTCATGACCAAGGCACTGGGGCCAGTTCCTGAGGGAAGTGAGGAGGGAACCAGAAGGTTACCTCTTTCCTCCTCAAATCTTATTTTTCAAGGGATTATATCTTATCTTGCCCAGTGGATTCTGAGTTCCTGGAAGACTACTGTCAAGAGCTATTCTGTCTGTTCCAATGGCAACTGGCACAGTAGTTCACCTAGATGGAAGAGGAAGAAGATAAGGATGCAACTAAAAAAGGATTGCTTTCTTCAATGACTGCTAATAACCTGGAACCCAACAGCCTTTCTCTATGGAAAAGACCCCTGTGGGCTGTGAGTCCCCAGACCCACCTGACCCTGAGGTCACGTGCATGTGACAGTGAGCAAGCCAGGCGCTGACAGGAGGCAGGGCCCCCATCCTTGACCATATTCTGCATCAAAATGTACTTCCGTCCACTGCACAGTGGAGCATCCACTCAGCCCCTAGAACTGACAGCAAGAAACACGGACCTCTGAAAATCGGCTGTTATTTTTGCCAATTCATTCTTAATGCAACATTTCAGCACAGAGATGTACAAGCAGAGGCTACAGGCAGAGAGTAAACAGGATTCACTTTTCTCTTGTACACTATCAGACCCACAGTACGCATCTTAACCATTGAAAAAGTCCAAAATTTTTGCACAGTTTCCAATCAATGAAATACTCCAAATTAAATAGGCTTAAAGTTTGAAAGCCAATAAATGATTGCAAATTCTACACATTCATATAAAAAAGCTAATAAATATAAAAAGTCATACTTTGAATTTTTTTTTTTTTTTTTTTGGCCACATTGTGGCATGCGGAACTTCCCTAACCAGGGATCGGACTCATGCCCCCTGTGGTGGAAGTCCAGAATCTTAACCACTGAACCATCAGGGAAGTCTCAGAAGAGTTATACTTTGGATACACCAATAAAAATATTAATGTTTTAGTGCACCAAAAAATACAAAAAAGAATTCATCAAAACTGAGAAGATCACGAAGTCAAGTAGATCACAGTGTGAGCCTCTTACTGTGTGATAACCTGTCTCGACTTCGATTTCTTCTTTACACCTCATAGGGATGTGCTGAGGTTCAGATGAAACACTGTGAAAAGCTTGCATAGTGGTAGAAGATAATACATGCTCAATAAATAGTATGATTTCCGCCCTCTAGTGAACTTTTTGGCACCTGCTTTCCCCAGAGCAATAGGTTCACTTTGATATATTGTAACATGGTTCATTCCAAACTCCTCCCTATGACATATTTCTTTCCTTTTTATCCCAAACTCATTTTGATTTGCTCTGTTCTTTTTAGCCTCTAAACTCTATTGTAGTGTGGCCAAAATATTTATTAAGTTAATTAAGTTTTTTATTGCTAAGTCACCAAATGAAGACCATAGCGCAACACAGACCCGGCATTCTGAGAAGAGTGTTTCTCTGTTCCGGACTCTTAACACCTCAAAAGATGTGTCAGGATGAAAAGCACAATAAAAAAAATACCCACTTAAAGACTTTTCAAGTACGGTTGATGTGCTGCCAAGAGCCGCTCTGAATGGCGGATTCACTGAGAACAAAGCATTTGTTTTACTGTTAGAATTCTATTAAACTGAGTATTTCATTTGTATAGATTAAAGGTCTAAATACTGATGGGAATCACATTACGAGTTCCATTTCCTTCCTCCAAACTCAGTCACAAAGAAGAGTCTGGCTCCCCCTCCCCCTCCTCCCCTAGAGAGATGTACTCTAGTATCACACAAATCCTCAAAGGTCGGTGTACACCTAGGAAAGTCGGTCAGTGCTTCCCTGGGCAGTGGGACAAAATAAAACATGTGGCTGCACAGATCTGAGACCCTGAAATGAGTATAGTAAGGACCTTGACTTAGCTGACTTTAATAAAGGAAGAACTCAGCCCTGGTCAAGTTTTCTTGAGAAGTACCACATAGGTGGTATTCAGGACCCCACAGGTAACCCTCTTAAGGGCAGCTCTCCCAGATACTTATCAAAAGCTTATCAAAAGAGGAACTGTAGCATATGCCATTTAGCATATTTTTCAAAATGGCTATTGATAGCAATTTACTTTTTATTTTCCTCCTTTTAATGACTTGTACCAGCGCTGTCCTCAGGTACCCAGGCCCTGACAGCAATGTGAAACGGGTAATTTGCAATCAGTAGGACCTGCAGTTTGTCGATCTTATCCATATTTGCATAGGCCAAAGTAATCCTCTTATTCCACTATGGACAGCCAGAAATCATTCAATTGGCAGAATTAACCATCTGAGTCTACTCCAAACTTTATAATAGTCATATACATATTTAGAATTACTCAAATTCCAACTGAATAAAAAGGGGCTGTTTTTGCATCACTGGTCTCCTCTGCCTCTCCTTAAGCAATATCCCATGGCCACTCACAAGGTAAATGCCAGCTTGCCATTTGGGAAGCTCAGAGTGACGCCCCTCTTGCCAAGCGAATAAAAGATGACTTCACTGCTGAAAGGTACTGTCGGCTTCAGAGAGATGCGTCAACATCCCGTCTATCAGTTTGACTGGGAGCCCGGCATACTCTATGCCGACACCCAGCACCAACACACGTATGACCCTTGAAGCGAGCTGGAATGAGTGCACAGAGAAGTAATCAACAGCATTTGATCAACTCATGTTGAGTCAAGATGCTTTGCAGGAATTTCCTTCTTCATCTCTACCTTACCCTATACTGCTTTTATTTTAGACTACTGAATTTTTGCTCCTGTCCCGTCAGTTTGGGAGCTGGCCATTCTGGAGTTTGTTGACCTTATGTTACGTGGCGATTCTTAAAAGATGTTGCCAGATTTCCCAATTGAGCTACTTTTTTTTTTTAAACAGCTGAAGGTGATCAAATTACCGAGGAAAACGTGGAAACAAAGACATACAATTGATTTGGCTCCAAAGGCGC